GCTTTAAAAAAACCCAAGGCTGCAGCAAGCCACCAGGAGCTGCCTCAGTCTACACCCATTATCTCACAAGGACATTTCTTCTGCAAATGTTAACATATCACACACACACACACACAAACACACACACACACACACAGAGCGCTCGCCTGTCATGACCCTCTGCATCTCTCACTGAGAAAATGTTGGAAGCAGAAGTCACTCACATTCTCCTCAAATGGAATGTCCCTCTCCTCTACTTCCTGGGTATCCGTCCTCCTGACTTCCTCTACTCTCTATGATTTTTTTCTTGTCGATTTCCTGTCAACTGGTTGCTTGCTATACAACTTGACCTGTGGATGATTATTTAATCCTGTTTACAGTATTCAAGCAGAAAACTCTTGGATTAAAGGTGTGTGCTAGGGTTGAGTACACCACAACTAGAAACAGGTTTTCCTAGTAAATAATGCAACCTTGAGGTTCACAGTGTGATCAAATATCCTGCAACAGGAGGCCTGTGTTTGGCTTCCATCATAGCTCAAGGGCTTATATTTTTATTTTCAGCTCAATGAAAATACCCTCACTTTACACTTAGCTGATGTCACAAACTCTACAGCAAACCCCTTGGCTTCTGTCGGGGCTGCATGGACTATGTGCTCTCTCTTAAGGGAGATGCCCTTCGAGGCTCTCCCCCAGGGATGTGAGGTGTTCATTCTCCAGCAAGAAGGTAATAGACCTTCTGCCCAGAATAAAGCAGGGTAGCCTTTCTTCCCTGTGTACCATTTATTTGCAAATATCTACACAAATACTGATTTCACAAACATTTTGTGACTGGCATGGCACTAGTCTATGGGGTATTTTAAAGAGTGAAATAGCCTTATCCTAAAAAAGCTTTCAAACTAGAAAGAATTAGTAGAAATTTATAAACACTTTAACTTATTTTTTTCTTTTCTTTTCTTTTTTTTTTTTGGTTTTCAGGTTTTCCGAGACAGGGTTTCTCTGTATTGTTTTGGAGGCTGTCCTGGAACTTGCTCTGTAGACCAGGCTGGCCTCGAACTCACAGAGATTCACCTGCCTCTGCCTCCCGAGTGCTGGGAGTGCATTCGCCACTAACGCCCGGCTTTTAACTTATTTCTTGACTGCAGAAAAATCCTGATTTTGTATGGCAACAGTTTAGGACTATACCAGGCTATAGAAAACAAGCCTGCAAGCCACATACAATGGACTCAGTCTCTCATGGACATGCAGACAGACTGCCCGACAAAGTACTAAAGACAACATGTTTCTAAAAGCCTTTTGAGCCCTCCACTGAGATTGCTTTACAGCAGACGTCCAAGATTGTGTGTGTGTGTTTGCATGCCCATATGACCATCTATCCCAATACACCATTCACATGGTTGAATATGGCAATAAACAAAGGCACTGCACAAATCTGAACAGAGTGAACCTTATCCAACACTGAGATACACAGACTGAGGAGCTCACGCAGTGCATCTACAAGGTACAGCTGGAGCATTCTACCAGGTGCTCGTAAGCACTTGACACAGGTTGAGTCAGTGACGTTTAGAGGACCAGAACAGAACACGCCCTTGGACACACAGACACATGCATACACCTCTCCCCAAACACATAATCTCAAAACCTAAAGAGAAGAAAATGCAGGAAAGAATACAACGTCAGAACCATTAAGTTAGTGAATAGCCCAAGAAGTTAAAACAAAACCTGTTTATCTGAGAAAAGTAAAATGCTACAAGCTCATACATAATTCTAATAAAAATTTAGATGCATGAAAATTTAACAATTATATCAGAGGTTACTTAAGACAGGGTGGCACACACCTTTAGCCTCAGTATGTAGGAGGCTGGAACACGAGGTTTGCCCCTACAAGTTGAGGCCACCATGGGAAACATAGTGAACTCAAGGCCAGCCTAGGCTACACAGTTAGACCTATGCGTGTGCTTGTGCGTGTGTGTGCATGTGTGAGAGAAAGATCACTCAGCAATGTTTTACTCCTCTGTCACCTAAATCTAAATCCTAACTGTAAAATAAAACTAAAGTTGATGATATTAAAATAAAAATCTGGTTATTTGCTCTCCCATCTAAGCAAGACCATAGAAGAGCACCCCGGCTAAGCTGCACCAGGCTCTGAGTTAGGAGTGAAGCGACCAAATAGTCCACAAGCAGCCCATACACACCTGGTCTTGGAGCTGAGTCAGCACAAAAACAATTAACTCGGAATCTGTGGTGAGACATTGTTTAAGATTTATTAATGCTTGCCTGAGGATTCAGAAGGCAAAGTAAGCCATAAATCATAGAACCCAGGCACACACCTTTAATCCCAGCAGCCAGAAGCTAGGAGGTGGTGGTACACACCTTAATCCTAGGACTCAGGGTTAAGAGGCAGACCGTTCTCTGTGAATCCAAGGCCACCCAGATCTACAGAATAGAGAATTATTGCTCACACCTTTAATCCCTACATTAGGGAAGTGTATATAAGACAGAAGCAAGGTCCCAGAGAGCATTCGTTCTCCAGCCACGCTGAGGAGAGGCAGCAGTCTGAGACTTGACGAGCTCCTGAGTGGCTCAGCCCTTTCAGCCTGAGCTAGAATAAGAGCTAGTGGCTGGCTGCTGTGTTTTTCTGATCTTCAGCTTGGAGCTTGAACCCAATACCAGTCTCTGGGTCTTTTATTTATTCCGTGTTACAGGAATCCCATTACAGAGAAAGAGTTTCCTCTTCGGGGACATTTTGCAGCAGCCATTTTGATGTGTGCCTTTTGGTTAGAGGACTTCAGGGATTGTATGTGAATATATACCTGGGCCACATGAAAATCTCTTCTGCTGGGGGCTGAAAAGTGGACAGAGCTTGAGAAGCCCTCCAGGGGCTTTCCCGTCACAACACCTGCCAGAGCAGCACCAACAGCCCTTTCACTGTCCTCTGCCAAACTGGCTTGGAGGCCCGCTTCCCTCCACCCCAGGGCCACCTCTGCCCCGCTACGGTGCTGCTGACTTTTCCGTCTAATCTTTCCTGTGTTTTATATCCACCCTCAGCGCCTACAGCTATACCACGCTGCTACCAGACTTTTCTTTGTCCAGTGCTCTGGTCACAAAGCTGCTTTATTAAGTGGTTGATCGCCACTCACTTTCGTGCCTCCTCTGTCTTCTTTTCTTAGATATAAAGACTGTCACCCAATGTGGGAAGATCACAAAGGCTGTGCGAGGCTCCCTCAACCAAGGTTTAAGTGCGCTTTCTCCTTACCCTGAGAACTCTGTCATGAGCTCTCGCCTCACCCACGGAGAAGACCTCAGCAGACTAGGAAGTCCTGTTCACTTATCATAGAGACACAATATTCTGTACAGTGAGACAGCACGGAGGACTACGGCGGTGATAAGCCCGACTCGGTGGTTCTCAACCTTGGCTGAACTTTGGAATCAAGCAGGGAGATTTTATAGAACACAGATGCTAAAGCCTGCCTCTCCGAGGGTGTGGTCGGCTTCCCAGGTGATTTCAATAGGGAGCCAGGCCACACAGGCCGCAGGGGAGGGGTGGAGAGCCTTATCCAAACACTAAGCCAGCCATAGGGAAGACAGGAGTCCTCCTCACAGGACGAGTCCACAGCTCTGAAAAACAGAAGGGCCCATGGCCAGCAGTTCTCCAAAAACTTAAGCCCAGTTCAGGCATTGGGAGCCAGTGCCTCCTCTGGAGGGCAAGTCGGCAGAGCACGGGGGCGGGGGTTCGGCATTCACAGCTCCATCTCTCCAGCAGAGTTATAGGGCTAAGCAGGCTTTGACTTCCAAGACTTACACGGGCAGGTCTGTGGGCAGATCCCGATGCCATGTTTGTCTCTGCCGCTCCCTTTACATTTAGGAGACACCAGCTGCACCGGGGGTAGGAACTGGGGGTATCTGACTCTGAGAATCTGCCAACACACAACAAAGCTAAGGGTGGCTAGCAGTGGACCCAAGGGCAACTTCCAAAGTGAAGACAGTTGAGGTAGGGATCTCGCACCTGGTACAGGCTCGGCACCTGATTCAGAAAGTCCTGGCGTTCACCTGGGCCTCTTCCCCAATGCTGCCCCTGCAAGGCTCCAGTCTCCAACACTGCTGTCTCTGCGGCCCGTGCTAACCCTTCCCCCACTACACGGCACGTGAACTGTACTGACTTCAGGTGTCTATCTAACGCAGTTGCGGCATGCTCTCACTGTTAGCTATCTTACTTTTTCTCACTTCTTTGTCGGTCTCCCTTTTGTATGACCTGACCTTTCTCTCCCCCACCCCTTCCTTTATTTCACTCAGAGTCATCATCTCTAAGGTTTCCCTGGATAACCCCCATCTATGTTGTTTTGGGGCTTTTCTGTTGTGTAGCCACAGTAATGATTAGCAGGCTGTAATCAATCCTAAGTCCATTCTGTATCTTGCTCAGGTTGGTGGTGGTCCAGCAGTCTGTTTGCTCCTCTCTGGGTGGTACCGGGGAAGAGTAAACTGTCCATAAGAGGAGCCCCAAATAGCACTGAGAACTATCCCCATTAAGAGAGTACAAACCACAGAACAGGAACCACGAAGCACAAGCGAGCACAGAGATGAGCCTCCTCTAGGAGACCCCCAACTACCGGATCCAAACACAGAGAAATGAGTAAAATGTGGAGGATGAAGATTTCAAAACTTTATCCGTAAAACTGAGGAATGACTCCCCTCCACACACAAATGAGATGAATAAAGTAACGAGATCATTTCAGGACCTAGAGAAGAAAGCGGCAAAATGGATAAGAAAAAGCAGCAATTTATGGATTTAAAAAGCAACATGGAACACAAATTCAGTTCAGAAAATGAGTTTTTTTTGAATGACAATAAAAGAAATGGAATGAAAAACTCAGTGAATCAGATAAAAACCAACAGATCATCCAATAAAAAAAGGTTATGAGGTCTGAAAGACAAGAATGAACAAACACTTCACTTATATATCAATAGTGAAGAGGGTATAATGACATCACAAGAACTCTGGGATAAGATCAAAGAACAAACGTAAGAATCCGTGGTCTAGAACAAAACGGTGGGAGAAAAACTGAAGTCACGGAAACCCATCCAGTAAATTACAGGCATTTCTGAACTCTGCAAAAAGGAACGGGCATCTAAACACCAGAGGGTTTAGAATTCAAAGTCGACATGACTAAAGGTGAGCCAGTCAAGATGCCAAAAGCACTTAAAATAGTATTTAAAAACACTAAGAAAAAAACCAAACCCACACCAATGTACTTGGGAAAGCAAACACATCAAAGTAAGAGTGGGCTTCCCAACAGAAACCCTAAAGACCAGGAAAACATGGAGCTCTATTTCAAGTTCTGAAAGTAAATAACTTTCAAGCAAAATGGTTATATCCAGAAATTTTTACCTTTTAAAACTGATGGAGAAATAAGGTCATCCCAAGGCAAACATGGAAGAGGGTAGCCCTGGTGAATACTGGTGTGTAAATGTGGCATTGGTGCTCCAGTCCAAGAGACAGTGTACAGCCTAGACACTCAAAACCTACAGGAGAGATCCCCTAACATCGCTTTAGATCATTAGACCTTACATCTGCAGGATGCTTCTCTGCAAACCACGGGGAGCCCCTTCACCATGGGAGCCAACTTTACAGTGCACTTGCCTCCCTCAAACAACCGATGTCACAGAACCCTAGAGAAGGCAGGGTTGGCCAGCCGTCAAGGGCTGTTTATCTCTGCAGGAAGCAGTCATTTTTCTATCTTGCCGGAACCCAGCATTAATAGGAAAACAAACACAGTCAAACAAATGCAAACAAACACAAGCCAGCTGGTGTCCGGCAGTGTTTAAAAGCAAAGGTCCACTCTCTTGCCAGATCCTCTCTATCCCTTCCATCCAGCCCTATCTACTGCTCCATCTTGGTCTTTAGTCTATGCAGTCACAGCCATCCTAACTAACGGGGTGACTGGTAATAGCTACGCTACAATTTACGGCTGAATACACCAGGAAAGCAAGGAGTGCAGTCTAGAAAGTGTTCCATCATAAAGGTTAGAATTTAAAATCCTGGCATATAAAATGTTTAACATTTAACCAAACAGAAAAACTTCCATTTCTGGGTAATCAAGAGCTTGCTGTGCATGGGGACAAAGGGAATGAATCTACAAACATACAACCCTGCCACCTTGTGGAACACATTCAAAATTACAACCTTTGAGCTAAAGCGGTTTAAATACTAAAAAACATTAGTCAAGATGACATTTATTTTAAAACATTAAGTACTGGTGTTGAGGTTCACCGACACTCATTAAATTTATTGTTATTAATGTTGTGTTTAATGAAATAATTTGGGGTCAGACTAAAATTTCTTTAAACAAAGCAGAAACTTGGTGTCTTATGCTGACAGTTAAAAACAGCCACCATCTGCACTTAATAAACAGAATCACACTGTCACCACCCACCGGACAGCACCACTGGACCACTTTTAAACTAGAAAGGAGAATCCTATAGGATCTTTCCTATTTCATAGGTAGACTGTAACTAGTCCAAATCTCCCAAGAATCTAGTCATTATTTCTTGGTATCAAATTGCCATAAGAGTTGGATCTAAAATCATAAAAATACAGAACCGTTGCCATTTTCAGAGCAGAGTTGCAGTAATGAATTCTTTAGAAAACAAACAATGAAGCCTCCTCTGCCATGCTGAAGGTCAGCAGAGGCTCCTGTGAGAACATGGCTACCAGTTACAGCAACAATGTATGAGGCTAACATGACATCACATCTTAGGAACTGTAGGTCAGGTGGCTGGATGCGGCCCGGTCTGATCTGAGAGCTCCCTGCACCTTTGTCTCAGGTCCTTTCCCAGCTCCCCTTCCTTTCCCAGTCTGCTTGCCAGCCACGGGGAGAAGATAGCAGCAGCGCAAACCCTCACAACAGAGACAACGTGCTTTCCTTCCAAGGGTTTAGTCACCAAACCGGACAGGACCGGCAGGCACAGAGATAAAAAGGGGGTATCTGTTCAAAATGTTTCTGAAAAGACAAATAGTTCTGTTGATCATTTGAGTTTTTCTCTACTGTTTCTTTATCACAAAATTCGTAGGAGAAGGAAAGAGAGATCACTACATTTCTGCCACACAGTAACACTGAAAGAAGCTCTTTAACAAACACTGGCCACCTCTTCGTCTCTTATCTCCCCTATGAGTCAGCATTCTTCCCGTGAGTCAGCTTTTCTCCTGCTTTCTGGTACAGACCCTCAGACACTCAACACCAACAGCATATCCGATCTTTCTCACCTGTTCATGCACTCAATAAACATCTAAACACCAGGTATTGAGAACCAAAACATGAGGAGCCACAGATGCCCTCTAAACTTGGGCTAGCAGGGAGTCACAGGAGAGTTTGTAATTGTTAAGTACTTCAGAATAAGTAGCAGAGTTTGATCCCCGGGGAGAGGTCAGAAATCCTGCCATTTAGTCTACTTATACCATTCCAACTCATTTTCCAAATAAGTTAGACATTTAATTGTATGACTGTCAAGTCTGCATCTACAGCCCAAAGTCTGCAACCACAGAGAGATTGCCCTCAAAAGAGAAAAAAAGCACAGGACAAAATTCTATTAGGGATTGGGATTATGCAAATGACTTCTTCTAACTGTTAGTATTCAGGCATCTGTACTGGCCTGCCCTTGAGATTCTGACAGGATACACCCTCAGCTGTAGACACCTATGCACATTCACTATGATGCCTTTTAAAAGGGCCCTACCCACCTCCCATCTTTCTGTCTGTCTGTCTGTCCCTTTCTCTCTCTGCTTCTTTGCCTACTCCCCTCTTTTCTCTTCTGCTGCTCCTGCCCCCAGAGGCTGGTCTCCTTCCTCCCCTCCCCCTTTTCCCACTCCCCTTCCCTAATAAAAACCCCTCCGTGTGAGCTCTGTTGCATGGTATCATTCTCTCTAGAGCCACTTCTTAAGTTACAACGCCGGCACTCCTTCCCTTTAAATTAAGATGCCCAGACAATCTACTAAATGACTTTCAGAGACCTCTGGGTATGGGTGATAGCCGTGGGTTCCATAAGCAAACAGCAGCGTATACGCTGAAGGGCTGTCAGCAGCTAGGTGAAGACTGAGCCGCTCTGAGCCCCACTGTGTCAAGACAGCACCGCGTTTACTGTCAAGCTTCTGACTCGACCTTCCTCATTTTCTGATTAAAAACCAGCTTTTCTTAAGTTTCTCCATCCCTACAACATGACATGCCTTCTGCTGGAAAAGTATTCTACTCAGTTGTATTCTGAGATTTAAAACACTCAGAGAAGCAAAGATTTCTGTTTACAACATAGATATGTGTACCTAACCCACTATACCACACACCTTGAATGTACTGGTATAAAATGGCATGGATTACAGATATTACAGTCACACACATCTGATATATACATGCAAGATAACTTTTTATACTTCATCCAGTGTTTTGGGTAGACATTTGCTAGAGACTCTTAGAATTTCTTACATATTCTAAATGTCCCATTAAGTTAATTCTCATTAAATATTTAATGAACATGTTACTTTAAAATTTTTATTCTAATTGATTCACTAAATGTTTATTGAACATACTTTGTATATACTACAAAGCACAAAATATGGAGTAAAGAGACTAGGAACTTGTCTAAGAAGCTTCTATAAGTAAATTTCTTGTATTTCTTCACTGCCAACATAAGGATAAAAATATTTGCCTCTTCTCCCTCCTGAGTTATGAATGGTCCAGATAAGAAAACCCATGTAGAAGTACTTGTAAAACGTTAAGTTACTTCCGATGTCAATGATCAGAGAAATCGTATTATAAAACGGGGCGGAGCTAAAGCTAGTTAGAATGAGTCTCATGCCACTCCTAGTACTACGTGTTTAAAATTATTTTCAATTAGTCATTCACTTCAGAGCGACGTTTATGTATGACTCATAAGCTCTACTAGGTATAACAAAAGTGTCCTTTACGATGATAACAGGACCAGTGAGAAGCCAGTGGGCAAAGGCACTTGCCACCAAGCCTTACAACTTGAGCCCAAGCCCCCAAACCAACATGGTGCGAAGAGAGAACTGACTCCTTCAAGTTATCCTCTGACCTCCCCATGTGAGCTATGCCCACTCTGTACAGTAAGTAAATAAAAATTATCGAAGCAGTGTGTTAATGTCTTAAATCTTAGTTGTATACTAAAAATGACAAGTAAAAGTTAATTTACTTTAATGACACTTAAGAAAACAATCCTTTCACCTGTCCCTACGATGTTACTAAACAGACATTTTCCCAGACATGACATGATATGTATCTTTTACTCAAACTGATGCTTTTTGGTTGCTGTTGTTAAGACAAGGTCTCAAATAGTCCAGGCTGGTCTTGAACTCAATACATAGCTGAAGATGATCTGAAACTACTGATCCTACTAACTCAACTTCCTGCCTGCTAGGATGACAGCACTATACCCATTCTAATGAATTCTTAATGTGAAGAATTAAGATAAACTACTTTGGAGTATTTTAAATTCATCTACAAGTACAGAATTAGATACGTACATCTGTCAACATTCAAATCCCCTAAAATGATAAAGACAGTACACTGTTTATTACCAGCCCTTGCTGTCTTCGGGAGACTGGTTCTAGGATACCCCACTCTCTAGCAGATACCAAAATCACCAGACACTTTAGCCTGAGTATATGTATATACTAAGTATTGCATATGTATATACAATAGTAGTATATAATATATATATATATATATATATATAAAACCTTCCATCCTAACTCTAGATTATGTAGCCACCTAACACACTGAAAATCATACATGAATAGTAGTGAGACTCTACTATTTAAGGAACAGTGACAAAAAAAAATCTGTGCCTGCAGTACAGACAACTAACTTCTTCCTTCTGAGACATTTTGGTGGGAGATTGGCTGAGTCCAAAGAATCCGCACACACAGAAGGTCACCCGTTATTAATTCTAAGTTATTAACAAAATCAGCCACCTCTCAAAGTCTTCACAAAAATCTTCAACATTCCCAAATAACAAGCCTGTTGTAGCACCTGTTTCTAAATGCAGTAAGAATAGCTAACATCAGGCTGGAGAGATGCTCAGTGGTCAAGAGCTATTGACTGCTCTTCCAGAGGACCCGGGCTTCAATTTCCAGCAACCACATAACAGCTTACAATTGTCTATAACTCCAGTCCCAAGGGATTTGACATCCTCACACAGACCCAAATGTGGGCAAAGCATCAGTGCATATAAAAAATTTAAAAATAAATAAATTATATATAAGGAGAATAGCTAACACCATTATCCAAATATGGATAAGTTAATATGCTCTGACAAAAAAGACTCAGTATAAACCTCTTATGTAAATACACCACTTCTATAAGAAATTCTCAAAAAATGTTTAAAAAAACCCTCTTAATCATTTAGTGTTAATTCAGAATGGTTTCAACTGGGTTATCAGATTTAAGAGCAAACCATGCTATTCAACTCAATCCCCCCCCCCCCCGCCTTGTTTTAAGATAGGATGACCAGGTGTGGTGGCACACACCTTTGTCACACCAGGTGTATTGGCACACACCTTTAGTCAGAGCACAGGGGCTGCAGAGGCAGGAGGTCCTCTGTAAGTCTGAGGCTGTCTGGTCTAAGGATAAGTACATTGTGAGAGACCCTGTCTTTAACAAAGGAGGAAGGGAGGGAAGCTAGGGTCTCTACACAGCGCTAGCTAGCTGGCCGGCCTATGCTGGCCTATGCTGGCCGGCTGGCCTACGATGGCTGGGCTACGCTAAACAAGCCCTCTCAATTCCCCTAACACTGGCCCCTGCTTCCAAGGTGTTGGAATCACTCACTGGTGTATACCATTATGCTAGGGTTTAAAAAAAAGCAACTCATACAATTCATCTGTCAACTGAGGCAAAAGATTCCTCCTGTCATGATCGCCAAAGTCCTCCAAGTGACTTCAAAGTCACTCTCGAGATTTCCTAACTAGGAAAAATAAAACAAAATGGCTGAACCTGACTTAATGCCAGCCTCCAAGATGGGCAGAAGCCAACTGCCTTTCCAGGTAAAACTCAGTCTGGGGAGGGGGCAAGCCAAATCCTCCCCTATTAGAGCCACAGTTAGTACTCACAGCCTCGCAGTGGTTTTATCACTAGATCACGGTAAAGGTTTCATGTGTAGACACAATGGTGGCCGTCCTCCAAGCCTGCCTCTCCCCCACTCCCCCCACCCAAGCCCAACTGACACTCCTGGGGGACCAACAAGTGCTTCAGATAAAGGTTCTCAAGTTCCATCTGTCCTTCAAGGCAGTTTCTACTTAAAGGAAAAGCGACCCAATTTCTTTACAACAACACGTTACTACAGAAAGAATAAAAAAATGACACAAGATGCACACACAAAATTAAAATATAAAAGTAGAGCAATGATCTATTTTAGATATAAAAATGTTGATTTTTTATGTTAGTTTTAATTATTGAATATTAAATTATTACATTTTTCCATTGGCTATGTTTTTACAATTAAAGACTGTCTTTGAGAAAGAGACCTCTATTATTCGCTTTTGTGTGCATGTGTTTCCTTTGGTTATGACGTTATTCTGAAGTTAACTGTTATGACCTCTGGTGACCGTATCTACCTACCCCAAGACCAAGGACAGTCCAGCGGGAGTCTCCCCAGGATTGAAACACATTTGTACAGTGAGAGGGAAACTAACAATAAGGGACAACAAAAGGCTTGGGGATGGAAGGAGGACTTGAAGGAAAGGCTAACAGGGAAGGAGGGGAGAGTGGAAAGGAAGGCGAGGAGGATAAGAGGGGAGGGAGGAGGGAGGAGGAAAAGGACCCAGTGCCCCAAACTGGCAGGTGACTGGCAACCGCCACCAAAGCATAGGTCATACAATCATTGAAGACTAATATTCTAACAAAACTGAGGGCAAACGGGCAGAAAGATCGTAAGTTCTAGGCCAGCCTAGACTATATACAGGGGCACCCACTAAAACTAATACACACACACACACACACACACACACACACACACACACACACACACACACACAGAGCAAATAGAAGTTTTACACTCAAAGACAATCTTTAATTTTAAAAAATACAGCCAATGGAAAAATATAATACTAACGCTAACAATTAATATCTTAATATTTTCTTAAATAATCTTACTAAGGAATTAATCCTCAACTGATCAATGTAAAAAAGTTATTGGGTTTTTTCCTTGCATTTTTAGTGCATATGAATTCTTTATGTAATGAAAATAAGCTAGTCTGGGCATTCAGGAGGTAGAGGATGGAGGTGGGAGAATTTGAGAGTTTGATGCCAGCCTAGAGTACACAGTGGGGAAGGACAAAGAGGCAGAGGGGAGAGGGAGGAGGGAGAGGAAGAGGTAGAGAGAGGGAGAAGGGACATGGGGAGGAGGGAAAAGGAGGGGGACAGGGAGAGGGAGGAGGGAAAGGGGGGGTAGACCACCCACCAGAATCAAGTGACTAGGAAGGAAATGCATATCTTGCATCAGCAACTACCAAGCACACTACTTTTACACCCTACTAAGTTCTTCAGATATTTCTACCCTTAGAAAGTTAGTTCATCTCTAACAGGCGACACACTATCTCCTCTCCTTCTATTGCAGGGAAGCTGCTTAAGCATGGAGGTAAACAACTCAAAATGGCTTCAGGAAGTCCCTGAAACTGACCAGATTCACTACCTCCCTCCCAGCCACAGTAAGCAATGGAAGCAGAGAGTCCCCCTAAGAAGCGCTAAAATGGACTGCAAAGCAGACTCAGACAAGCCAAACTGCAAAGACCGAGACCACGCCACACCAGATGCATGGAAGAAGCAGCAGAGGGCAGCTGAGCTGCCCAAGAGGTCTAGACCAACTGAGGCAGCTGGAAGGGACATGCTCCAACCTGTGCTGGGTGGGCTTTGGTGAGTCATTTACGCCCCTGTAAGTAAATGACTCACCACATTCCTGTAAGTAACCCCAATAAAACTCGTCAGTTCACCAACCTCGATTTTTGTGGTATCTGTACTTAGATCTGTCACAGACTCCCTATCAGGGTGAATAGGGGTGGGTGGGTGGGTGCGTGCGTGCGTGCGTGCTTGCGTGCGTGCGTGCGTGCGTGCGTGTGTGTGTGTGTGTGTGTGTGTGTGTGTGTGTGTATAGCATCTCCCCAGGAAAAGTTTTGACATACAACCAGAAATGAACCTCTCAAACTGAGACACCAAATCAGTGGCAATATTTAGGTAGAGTTCCTAGAAACCTGGGCAAAAGAGAAAACAGCAATGCCAGGCATGGTGGCCCTCACCTATACTGTCGGCGCCCTGGAGACTAGAGCTGGAAGACAATGAGTTTGAGGTCAGTCCCGGTCACATAGTGAGACTGCCCCACCCTTAAAAAATAAGTAATGAAAGTAAATGACAGCATCAGGGAGTCAGGAGAAAGGAAACAGTGTGTGCGCGCGGCTGGAAGAGGGCGGGAGCAAGGGGAAGTAGAGGAGAGCACGAGGGTAGAGACAGGAAGTAAGAGCCAACGAGGCCGGACGCTGGAGGACTACGAAAGAATGACCCGGGAAGCAATGCAGCTGCTCAGTCACACGGTGCTCCACGGCACCAAAGACGACGGGTGGCAAGAGGGGATGCCGCCTTATGACCTGAAGCCCCAGAGGACACAAGAGGGAGCTGCCCACGCAGAATCCCACGTTTCATTCATTCATTCGGCCACGCATCCAAAGCCGTAAGCGTCCACTCGGCTCAGGAGGGACCCTGCGTGCCCATCTCTTCCGTCACGCTTCCCAGTGCCCCCTTGCTCACAATGGAGGCTGGAAACATTCACAACCTCGGCCTCCAAAGCTGGTAGATAACATAAAATGGACAGATATTCCTAGTAATTGCGAGTAGGCTTACATTATTTGTCTTTCTAGAATGCCCAACATGCCACGCTATCAAACACATGCCAACAGTAAGGATGGGGGGACATGAGAGCCAGGCCCGAGTACAAAGCATTCTTCCTTTGAACCTCTCTCCAAACACTTCTGCATTACTTGCTTAGATCACTATGTGTGATGCTATTTAGATCAATGGTTCTCAACTCACGGGTCCCCACCATATTTCCCGTGACATACCGCTCAGTAGCAAAATTATAGTTACGAAGTAGCAATAAGAATAAACTTATGGTTAGAAGTTCCTAAGGTCACTGGAAACCATTCATTTTTCCAGGTTCCACGGGTTGAGAACCGCTAATCTAGATGTCTATCAAAATCGAAGAAAAAACAAAACAAAACAAAACAAAAAAAACCCCAACAACTCTTGAGATGTTTAAACCCTTCATTTCAGTCCATTCCTTGTCAATGTGAAGTTTCTGTGTCCTTCTCAAACTCTAGCAGTCCCTCAAATATAAATGGAGTTCAAAAACCTCACACTGATATAACAGATGCAAAATTACAGAAACACATGTTAGTATACCTAAAGTAGGCTACTAAAAGGCAGCGAATACTTCTGCTGTTAATCTTTATGTCTGGAATCAAGGCTTCACAGACACACCAGACTTTATCCACAAGACTCACAAAGTCAGCTTCCTGAGGCTAGAAGTCACCCCCAGACAGAGCCCAGATGCACGCCCTTTGCCAAACCACCCTCTAAACAATGTGCACAGGCAGTTACCATTCTGCACAGTGATAATCTTACAGTGTATATAGACATTCTATATCAAAAGGATTAGTTACTGCAATCGGGACATATTTATTGGGATTCTAACTTCACTTTGGTATGGAAGAATAATGCAAATAGAAGCAGTGACTTAAGTTACAGCAGCTAACATTTACTGAGTGCTTACTGAAGTATCACACAGGCTGAGCGTGGTGGCACAAGCCTAGAATCCCGGAACCTGGGAGGTGGGCATAGGAGCACCAGGAGTTCAAGGCCTTCCTCTACTATGTAGTATGTTTATGGCCATACCTGAGACCCTATCGAAAAACAAAAATCTAAAGTGCCAGACACTTGGCTAAGTGCCTAGATTGGATTTTATTAATACCCCATGATAATCCCAAGATGCAGAAAATGTGAGCTGGGTACAAATATTAATATTGACAATAAATTATAGCAATTATTATTGCTGCCCTCACTTCATTTGCAGGTCAAAAAACTGTGGCTCAGAGAAGTTAGGGCTGGTGGTCTCAAGGTCATGACTACAGCATCTGGAAGAGTCAATGTCTTAGCATGGGAAGGGGGTGAACTCAGTGGGGAAAGTCATGAACCATACAAGCCTGAAGACCTGAATTGATACCTGGAAGCCTCAACGAGGAAAGAAAATCTTCCCCCGCAGACTAATACTCCATATACCCTAAAAATAAATAAAATCAATAAAACTCGGGGGTCTGACTTTAAAACTCATGCTTACTTAGTATAATGTATGAAATTATTTTTATATATCCTTTCTAGAAAGAAGTTAAATTCCAAAACAATAAAATAACAACTATCGCTTTAGACACAATTCTCCCCACAGTTGCCTATGTACTCAATGCTGGGTAGATATGGACACAAAATTATAAAATATGTTAAGAAATACAATATAGCAACACGCAGAGTTTAAAAAAGACTAGAACAGGCTAATGAAATTTTACATAAGTCATACATTAATGTATTAAGGCTCTAAAGGTAGCCTGAGAATTTGAGATTATTTCTATAAACCAAAATAGATGGAAGGAACCAGAAATGCTTAATATGGGAAGTGGGAAAAGGCAGCATTGCCAAATTAAATCCAGAAATGCAGAATAGCCTTGCTCAGCCTCAGGTTTAATCCAGTAGTCTTTGGCATAATGATCTATTTTCAAACAAGAATGTGATTTGGAAAATTAACACGATCAGTTAGTTAGTTATAAAGTGATCCAGAAAGTCCCTGTAACTACTATGAAGCCAGAGCTCCACATACAGCCAATCTTGAACAGACACTGTCATGAGAGCAGCCAAAAACCAGATCCCACGGAGCAGCGACTAAATGAAAAGCCCACAGTAACATGCCAGTTTTGTAATGAGGAAAAAAAAAAAATCGAGATGTACACAAAAGGTAATTATTACTACCGAACAGTAGATGGCGCCAACAGACCATGTACTATTAGACTATAGCTCAACGCTCCTTCTACAATGCATTTTCATATATACAACCCCGGCTATCAAATTATTTAATTTATGTGATGTTTCATAATTTTATTTCTGACATCAATTTTATTACTCTACTACATAGTCATTTTATACACAAGTCTTAGCTATTTTTAAAATGCATCACTTCTAATATAAAATAAAATTAGGAAATGTTAATACAAAGCAAAGCTTGAAAAAAGAAAAAGGCCAGAGTAAAGTGACATCCATGTGTGACAAGGCCAAAATGAGACCACTTTGTCCATTTAAAATTTAATTTTAAAATACACATATAAAGTAAAATATAGAGCAAAAAAAAAGAGATTGTGAAGAAAATAAAATAAACCCATAAACCAACAGCGTCTGAAGGCGCCGAGATCTGTTTAGCCTCAAGGTCTGAAAGTGCCACTGTCAACTATAGAAATGCTAAAATCTTCTTAACCTTGGGTGCCTACAAAAAGAATTCCATTTCTATATGAGATCATGCAAAATATGCTAATTTTCAAGAGGCAAACCAGAGCACAGTCCTTTGTCCCTTCCCCACCTAACTCATCCAGAGGGCTTCCAACCTGGATGCTAACAATGTCTGTGAATGCGAGACAGGAAATGTGCCTGCTAGTCCAAGATGGGGATTGAGTTTTGGGAAGGCAGCTACTGGCAGAAATGGCTAAACCTGTAACCAAGAACCATGATAAACTACAAGTATGTATAGCATAAGGTAACTACATACAATTCTAGAAGTTACTCCAAGTGTAGGCTGTTACCCCACCACAGAATGACAGTACATGGGGCATTAAGTCACCAGAGGTCCACTTGCCACGGGGCATCTGACTTGTAATTACAGAAAATACACAAGAGTTTGCATTTCCAGTTACATGCCATAGCATCAGGGATTCATTAGCTCTCAAAGTCAAATCCCACACAAGGACGGGTGACTGTATAGTGAGGGGGATGGGGGATGGGGGAGGGGAGGAGGGAGCCGCTGTATGGCTGACCTACTCAGAAGGTAACAAGGAGGGACAGAAATACGGCATAGCTCCACGTACAGGGACTTCAATCAAGTTGACAGGCAGAAAATGCAATTGTAAAAGAATGGGAACAGACCACCCGTTTGTCATCAAGAAAAAATATGTGCTCATTTTCTGGGGGAAAAAAGTGAGTACTGATATAAACACAACCTAAAAGCCAACTCACCCCCACCTCCCTCCCCATCGGCATTCCTGCTGAAACGCTGAGCTCTCAATATTCTCCCGTTTTCATAGAAGCATTCTGAAACTCTAGCTGGTAACCTAATTTAAAAATATAGTCTTTCTTTTTTTAACAGGAGGGTTTCAACGGAAGTTCCTGTATCAGTAAATACTGCTCCCAGAAGGACTTTAGTTATTAAATGAAAAGTGCCAGGCAGGTATGACCGCCCCAACAGTTACTGCTCAGACAGGTCCCACGGCACACAAAACCACACAGGCTATGGCCACTGCTCTCAGTTGTGGACCACAGCCGGACGGCAACAGCCTATTGCTGAAGCCTCACACACTCCAGTTACAGGACACAGGAAATCAACCCTGGCCTGCTGGGGAGAGTCCTGCTGACCAGATGACAGGCCTGGCAGCTGGGGAGAAAGGACATGAGTGCTCTTAATTCGGTGCTGGACCCTCAGGCTACTGTAGCCACCGGCCAGGGAAGATGCATTCCGTGTGTAGTAGTGACAAGACTCTTCAGGGAGGAAGCAACCGCTCTCCTGACCGGCTCCGAGGCCTGCTCACACCTGATGCTCACACCCAGTCAAAACCACTATCCAGGGAAGTGACAAAAGAAGAACACACTGATCTTGTTTCCCTTCCTTTCTAAATGACCACTTTACCAAACTGCCATCTCACTGTCTCTATC